AAAAAAAAAAAGGACAAACCATCCACCTAATATTTGTGGCCTTAAATTGGATGGAGAACCCTGAAAGGCTAATTTGGGGTAGATTTTTATTTCTGTGTCGAAAAAAAAAACCTTCATATCCACAAGTTTATTTATTTATTTGATATAGCCATCATTTTACTTAATCTTTAGAGAGAATCCCCCAGACTATCTAGCCCAGTGGTGGCGAACCTATGGCACACGTGCCAGAGGTGGCACTCAGAGCCCTCTCTGTGGGCACGCTCGCCGTGCCCCGGAAATGGCAACCATCCCTCTTCAACCAGCTGCCCACTAACTCGCTGAGGTCCCACATGGCTGGATGCATCCCAGCACCCATGCGCTCACTGGCCTATGTGTGCAGGGGCCGACGGTGTCAAGCAGCAGCCGCCCCGGCCCCTGCCTCACCTTGCCCTGTGACAATGGCACCCCCACCCTGCCTTGCCTCACCCCACAGGACGAGCCTCCTGCCTACCGCCCTACCTGCCAGAGACCCCCTGGATCTCTCCCAACCCTGCCCGACCCCCACAGGCGTCCCTCCCCACGAGCAATATTGAGGTGATCACGCCCACCTTGGCCATACCCACCCAATCTGCCATGACCACCACAGCCACGCCCACCCAGTGGGCCACGCCCACCTGGCACCCGGCGATAAATAAGTGGGTTTTGGGTTGCAGTTTGGGCACTCGGTCTCTAAAAGGTTTGCCCTCACTGATCTAGCCTGATCATGCAGAACATGAAAATAGCTTGGTCTCTTCCCCCAGATAAATTCAACCCAATTGTTAGCAGGAAGGCTAACAATTAGGCTTCAGTCCAAGCACAGTTCAAATTAAACCCACTGAATAAATAGTACGCAGATTCACCTCAATATTGTCAACCTGCCAGGTTTTAGGCATTCTAAATTGTTGTAAAAGATTGGTTAGAGAAAAAGAGAAGCCTGCCACTTTCATTTCTCCCCAGATGCCTGTTTGCTATTATAGCACAGCAATAAAATTGATAAATGATTGTAATAAACTGAATGAAATGTGCATTTACAAAAAAAAACAAAAAAAATCTGTATTTTTCTATAGTCTTTTTAAAAGAATTGTAAATCCTTGTTATGCAATGAATTTCATTTGCAAAGAAAATTTAGAAGCAATTATTCTAAAGAGATACATGAATGAAGAAAAGAAGAAGACAGCAAAACCGCCCTGGATTATCCTTAAGCACTTTCTCCCCATATTTGACCACAGGGTTTGTCAGAAAGGGGAAAGGAGAGCTGTATGTTTTGAGGGACAGTGTGCTCAGCCATATGGATTGAAAAATTCACCTCTTGAGTGAATGATGCGTCCTGAAAATTGTTAGCTGCTCATTGTGAACAACTGAATGCTTCCTGCTGAATAAGCAGAGACTGTTGCAGAAACTGTAGAGAGAATATAAGGCAGCTGGGATGGAAGGAATGAGTGAACAGAACTAAAAGGAATTTTCAATTTCAATCAGAATAGAGCTGGAAGGGACCTTGGAGGTCTTCTAGTCCAACCTCCTGTTCAAGCAGGAGACTATATACCATTTCAGATAGGTGGCTATCCAGTCTTTTCTTAAAAATCTCCAGTGATGAAGCCCCTACAACTTCTGAAAGCAAGCTGGTCCACCGGCTAATTGTCCTCACTGTTAGGAAGTCTGTTGAAATGCAACTCTGCATAAGGAAAAGATCAGAAAAAGAAGAAACCTAAGGAAAGAGTGATAAACCAAAATAAGAAATGACTGCATACTTTAGAGTTCAACAGATTTTAGTAAACATAAGTATGATTCCTTGGTAGAAGAAACTCATCAGAAGAAACAACTAGGATGAATAAGAGTTGCTAGAAATAGAAATACTAAAAGTACAATCACAACAACTTCAAAAGTAAATTGGAGTGGGGGGGGAGTGCCAGCAGAACAACCAACATGATTGTACAAAACACTTAGTGAAAATCAAACAGAATAAGTCTTACTGTTCTATGAAGATGGATAGAGTCCTATGTTAAAGATACAGGATAAGAACATTAATTTTCCCCAAATAGGTGTCTTTCTAACGCTTTAAGCTTCAGTTCCAATCATCTCCAGCCACCATAACCAATGGACACATTAGCTGAGAGTATATGGGAATTGATCCAACATGTCTCAGGGTTGCCAGGTTTAGTCTACATTATTTTACTATAATATAGGAAAGCTCCATGTAGAAAAACATTTAGGTTTTTTGTTTATTTCTTTAATAATACCACCTTCTACTTTATTTTAGATGCAGTCAACCTACTACTTGCAGGGTCTCCATCTCTCCATTCCCAACTTCTTTCAAAACAGTCATATGAATAACAGTGCACTCTCAGCAACCATAGATACTGTCTATACGGTAAGCTGTGGGGCAGGTGAGCCAATCGGTTTGGGTTATTATGTTCTAAGAAGTTTGGCTTTCGTTCAGTCATTCAGAAGTATGTTGCCCCTCTCAAATCATAATAAAGCTCCCTCTGATGGAGAAGCTCTAAGTGTCCAACAGCTCACATAAAGGGCCACCGCCAAATGTAGATGTGCTAATAAATAAATAACTCTGTTGGGTAGATGGAAAGTGATTGTGGAATGAAGCTTTGTGAAACAGATACTTTCAACTGTCCTTGTCTCCAAGAACCCAAGTTCAATCCCTAGTTTTATAAGCAGGAAACCTCCTGACCAACTGCATATGTCATAGTTAAGATCATAGGCCTTGATTACCACAGATGGAAGAGAAACGGTTCTATTTTCTTTCAAACCACAAACTGTGTTGTGGTAGAGGAATTGCTGAAAAAGGAGAAGAGAGAATATATAAGTAGGAGACCAAGGATTCTAGAAAACTAGATGATTTCAACTTTTTCCCAAGGAGTTCTGTTATTTTAGGATGAGAATAAATTGGTTCTTTTCATTTTTATTCCCATTACACAATGCATTTAGATCTAGCTGGTAAATATATTTGTTTGTGGTTAAGAGGCTTCTACTACAGTTTAACTGAACGCTGAGGCAACAGTTGCTCGTTATTGCCAGGAATCTGTGGCATGTCCTCTTAAACCATAACCGCAACTGAAATGATACTACCACCATCCCTCTAAAAACTAAAGGAAGAGAGGGAAGGGTTCCACGTGTACATGATGCAGCACTGCTAATTTGAATCACTGGATCCTTCACATACCTTTCCCTGCCCCAGTTAACAGATGTGACTGCCCTGGTTTACAGAATGGTTTTGTGGAAACTTGATTCACATGACTGAGAAATAGGATGTTCTTGTGAAATCTGTTAGAAATGTCTAGATGAAAGTCCAAGAGTAATCAAGATAAGCGTTTTGCTTATCACTTTCAGTAGGAACTGTGTGCTGAAAGCTTCTTGCCTGTACAGTATATAATCAGTCCAGGATAGTTAGAAGGAGTAGAATATGATTTCAGGCGTTCTCAGTTTGCCTTGAGAAGGAGAAACAATTCACAAGCCTGGACAAGAACACTGAGAATGTGTGCTAGTTGAGGGGATATCTGTGCAGATATTGACATTAAAAGAATCAGCGTTATGGCACATCAGTGGATATTCAATTTACAGCTCCATCCACGTTTCCTAGCACTTTTGTATCATTCTAGGAGCCATTCCTGATGCTGTGAATAGAAGGGGACTTTCACGATATAAGCAGTTGCACAAGTATTGGAAGCTGCATGATCTATAAATATTACAATTTAGTTTTGTTCATTGACTCCTTAGAGATCCAAAAAAATAACACGAATAGGAATTGTGGTTAAGTTGCTGAGCTAGGAGCAGGGAGACCCAGATTCTAGTCCATAGAAACTCCTTGACTTTCATTCATTACCAAACACTTGATAAGAGTTTGGGCGATGCAGAATAATATTTACATTCTTTCCCCCCCCCTCTCTCTTCAGTTTCCAGATGCCTGGCTCCTTCTAGCCAATGTAATGGTTCTGTTGATCCTCATTCCACTGAAGGACCGGGTGATAGACCCATTCCTAGCAAAGAAGAAGCTGTTGCCATCAGCACTGAGGAGAATGGCCCTAGGCATGATCTTTGGCCTTGGCTCAGTCCTATTAGCAGGTAAGCACTTCATTCATAAGCTTGTACTAACCCCACATTCCTTACCCCTAAAGCAGGGGAGGCTAAAATATTAAAACAAGAAACACCAGCCATGATTTGGTCGTGACCTGGTTTGCCTGGCCTGAGGAACTGTAACAATCATATTGGCCTTTGCCATGAATGGGCCTCTGAGGAAAATTTAGCAAATCCTGGTTAGAATGAATGGTCTAAACCAGTGTTTCTCAACCTTGACCATTTTAAGGCATGTGGACTTCAACTCCCAGAATTCCACAGCCAGCATTGCTGGCTGTGGAATTCTGGGAGTTGAAGTCCACATGCCTTAAAATGGTCAAGGTTGAGAAACACTGGTCTAAACCAAAAGTGATTAATACACCATAATAATTTAGTAAATTATGAAGTTATTCAATTAATTGGAACAGCTATTATGTATTTCTGATAGACTTTAATCTCTCCATGGATATTTGTAAAAATCACTTTATTATTTGTTGTCTGAAAGTTTTAAAAATGTCTTAGAATAATTAGCCTAGGGGAAAAAAAAATCAGTTTGCAACAATTTGCAGTGTCTAAAGCTGCAGAATGACTGTTCATTCAATTAAATCTTCTAATTGTATAATTTGATCCAACTCCAATAGCTGCATATATAAAACCTGAGTGACTGTTAGTACTAAAATTGTTTTGAATGATTTTGAATGTACAGTATATACAGTATATAAAATGCATAGTATTTAAAAGGTTTACTAAGATGAGTATTGGTTATTTGTGAGAAGTTTGGAATAAAATTAAATAAACAATGTTGTTTCCTATAATTGTAAGATGTTTAGTTAAACAAAAATTTTTTTTCATATTTATTGCACCCATCAGAAAATAGCTGTCGGCCAACTACATAATTCCACAAATATAAAATTATGGAGGAGATACTTAAGATATATGGTATGGGTTTGTCCCATGATTGTCCAATTTAAGGTTGATATACATATATTTGTTAATAATCATGCATTTGTTAATATGTTTTTGGGAAGATGAATAAAGTTTAAATCTGCTAATGCAATGTTGAATTTTATGCACTAAAAATGTGAAAAGCACTATGGAAGGTAGGATTTCAATCAGCAGTAAATGTATGAAGAACTGAATTTATCAGGTATAAGATGCTGTAAAGAAATTATGTTATGATGAAAGAGCACCAGCAAGAGGTGCCCACAGGATCAATTTCCCCCCCCAAAAAAATGAGCTATAAAAAAGGTTTCCAGAGAAAAAAAATGCGAGATTGAAGATGGCTCCACGAAAACCTGGGCCGATGGCTGCAGCAAACAACAAAGAGTCAGTGACCAGACCAGCTCTTCAGAACCTCTCTGGACAAGGAGAGGGTGGAATATCACCCACAACTCTGAATAGTTGCTCCTCACAAGACCACAAGAAGCAGTCCCCAATAGATTTTGAAAACTGGAAGACAACAAGAACAGCCATCCTGCTCGCAAATTTGATATTTGCCCTTTAAAGGTTACTAGGTTCATGAATTTTCTTTTCTAATCACTTTTTAAAATGAATTAATTGTAATTGTAAGGAGTCCTTCCCAAAGGAAATAGATATGTTTTTAGCAAGACATAATAAACATAAGCAATTTTAAAAATTAGACACTAGAGGGAACTAAAGATTTTTATTAAAGAAGAAAAATGCACGAGCCAGCTAATTAACTGGGGCTTATAAAATGATGCAAAACGTTAAAACATTGAAAATACTGAAGGACACTTTTGAAAAATGGAATCAGAAGTTAGTACCAACAATGTCAATAGGAATGTTTGCTTCTATGGATAGACTGTGTCCAAAATATGTTATGGAAGTAATGGCAGATATGGAACAAGTTGTATTTGAAAGGCAGAGATGGCATCAAAAGTGGGTCTACCAATGGCAGGCTATGAGAGTGACCTGGAAAACAGTGCCTCACTGGACATATAAAAGAAACCAGTTAATGACACATATTCATCTATTTTTGAATTAGCTCTCTATTGATATAAAGGAAAGATGGGCTAATATTATTCTATGTGGTCAAAGTTTAATCCAATGCTAAAAACAACAACTCCGATTTCCTCTTGTTTCTTCCTTTCCTCTTTTTTGTCTTTGTGTGTGTGTTTTTTTATTTCCATCTTCTTGCTTTCTCCTTTGTATATTAGAGCAAACAAGCTTTAAAATGAAATGTTGGCCACCTTCGCTTCTGCACCTTAAAAGAAGGCAATGCAAACCATTTCTGTATTGTGTGAAAATGCTACTTGTGTAGTTGTTCACACTATTGCCCCAGTTTGGTTTACTGTAATCAGCTCTATGCCTCCTTGAAAAATAGAGCAGCAAATCAAAATTACTGTAATCAGCTAACATCTGTTTTACGGTTACTGCACTAGTTTCCAGTAGCTTTCCTGGTGCAATTCAAAGTGCTATTTTTGACCTATAAAGCCTTGTAAAGCTTGGCACCAAAGTACCTACAGTATTCCTTTTCTCTATAGAAGTAGCTAGCTCACCCAGCACTACCAACATCTTTTAAGGCATCCAAAGTGCACGCATTGAAGGCTCATGGACAGTTGCAACTCCCATATTACGGAATAATCTTCCTCTGAAAATTAGGCTACTTCCTTCATTGTTAGCCTTCCAGAACAAAGTAGTCCTAAAAGGATTTGTGCAGGGAATAGTCATCATAATGTACTTATATTGTTGTAGATCTTGTTTTATCTTGATTTTTAACCTTTTTTTTTTGAGGTTTGTATCTTATACAAGTCTTTTTTAAAGACTGGCAGTATAAAAATGTAGTCAATCAATCAAGTAGTTAATAGGTACCTGACTCAAGGGAAATAATGCCTTTATTCTGTACAGTACGGTCTGTATCTCAGTTATTAAGAACCTTGATAATTAACATTTAAGCCAGCATACGTATATACTCTGAAGAGACTGAATGCTCAAGGGCCTGGCATCCCAACCTGTCCCTGATGAAAGCCAGAGCTGTTCTGAGGATGTTCCAATTATCTCTTTCAACTCCATTGATCTCTTACCAAATCTACATCTCCCTCATCCTTGCCAAGTATAATCTTTTCTTCTAGTTCTTCGTGTGTTTTATGTGGGGGATGTGAATAAAAGAGTATCCTGGTTTCCAGTTAAAATTTTGAATGGTCTGTCTTGATGTTGTTCTCAAAAGGTGTTATGTGTTCTGAAATTTGGACACTTGAGAAAGTAAAAGAAAATGGATACTTTCAAATTGTAGCTATGGAGATGGTTATTAATTGTACCATGGCATAGACTGAAACAAGAACAAATTCTGGACCAAATTAAAGCTGTGCACTTGAGGTGATGATCAGGCCGTAGAATATCCTAAAGTGTGAAGTGCTTCATGTGGTTCCTTTTTAAACAGGATATACTACTGTTGGTTAGAGATACTAAAACTCTTGTTATGACTTTTAACTGGGAGAATCATAGGGCAATAATTTTTGAACCAAGGTACCTCCAATGGGCTAATTTACAGAATGTAAATCCAAGACTCATGATTCCAGAGGGAATGAAATTTGGGGAGGTTGTGGCTACTTCAGTGCTACTGGCTGCTGCTGCATTGCTGGGCTATACTACTGCGATCATATGATCTTTATTTTCAAAGTTCTGTAACAGTTTCCCAGCCAGTCTCACAATCCCTTCCTCCCTCTCCCATCCAGCAGCAGTCACTTATCTGTCTGCTGGGAAGGAAAGGAAAGGAAAGGAAAGGAAGGGGAGATTTCCAATGCTTCCTGCCAGATTCCCACATGGAAATTCAAAGGGGAAGTTGACAGGATATTGGAAGATGCTCCTGCTTCCACCGCTTTTTTGCCACCTTTGTTCATTGTGTTTCTGTTTAGGGTAAGGAAATATCTCTGAAACAATAACCCAATTGGACATGGGTAGTCTAGTATGTATTTTATACCTATAGTAAATACTTTATACCTAATATAACAAAGAAATGACCACTTATTTTCTAATTTTTAAAAATCTGCCTCAACTGGGAGTTATGTTCTTCACAATCTTATTCTGGATCCAAATGTTCTTCTCCTATCTAGGTTTCCTGGAGACTAAGCGGCTGCAATATGTGAAGAACAACCACACAATCTCACAACAAATTGGGAAAGATGAATACTTTGCAGCCCCACTCTCCATCTTCTGGCAAATCCCTCAATATTTACTCATTGGAATCAGTGAAATCTTTGCCAGCATTTCGGGTAAGCCAGGGAACAAGGCTTTATTCCCTGTTTCTCTTATATCGGCATTAAGCCACAATTTCCTGGTCTGAATGTAGTGCAGCTAGTTGCACCAAAAGATGAAAAAACACAGAGTTTTCTCACCATGATTTCAGAAGCTTGAACTATCCTTCAGACCTACTTTAAATGTGCTTCTCTAGCTTGCTAATCCTTCAAATTCTTTCTACTTTTCCAGGGCTGGAGTTTGCCTACTCTGAAGCTCCCAGATCCATGCAAGGAGCAATCATGGGTCTTTTCTTCTTCATTTCTGGAGTTGGATCTCTTTTAGGATCTGGTCTCCTGAGTTTGCTCTCCCTGCCAACCAATGGTTGGATGCACTGCCCAGAAGATTTTGGTGAGCATCTTCCTTATTCTTTAGTTTAGCCCCAGGGAACTTCCTCCACTAAGAGTTTTAAAGAGTTTTCACTGTTCTCCAGTGATATTGAACATCTTTTGGTAATGGCATGTAGACTGGAGAAGACCTACAGAAAATTATTTAAAAATGTGTTGTCAAAAGACTGTTGTACACAAAGGATTCGTGGACCTGTGAAGGCTGCAGAATGCAAGAAGACATCTTTCTGCTGCTGTATACTAAACGCTCTTTTGCTCTCTCTTTCTTCCCTAGGAAACATCAACAAATGTCAGATGGATTATTATTTCTTCCTCCTAGGTGGGATTCAGGCGGTAACATGCATCCTCTTTATGTTCATCTCCATTTGCTACGAGCGTCAACAGCGACCCACCAGCTGAGAGAACAACTGATAGCATTTTTCAGGACTGCAAGAAGGCACCCATGCTCTCCAGCTCTCATCATAGTGTTCAGTGCTATGGCTGTCGCAGAAAGTTAATTGATTCAAATGTTATGAAGGCTATATTAATGAAAATTTGAGAAAGCAATCCAGAAGACTACCAACAATGGCAGATAGTCAGGGTACTAAAAACCACAGTTTCTTATTCAAAGTGTTAAGAAGAAACTGAATATGAATGGTGGAGTTATGGGGAAGCTAGGCTGCAGTTAAATAGATCATTTCTTAATCCATCAAAATGGTTCTTGCCCCTCTTAGTACTTACAATCTCCTTTGAGCTGAACCATTTTTGGGGGAGGCAAAATTAAATCCTTTAAAAAAGGAGAATGTCATACATGCTGTATATACTTGTACATAGACATTCACGTAATTTGGAGCTTCTGATACTTTACAGCCAAATATCAGTGTTGCAAATGGAGATTTCATGGGGATCAAAATTATGGAATAAAACCTTGTATTTATAGCTAACTTTTGTTAATGTAATAGGAATGTACTGGAAGTTCCTTTTTCAGAACCTACCCCAGTCTTAAAGATGCATATTACCAGTAGCAATATTTATTTATTTCTTTAAATAAATAATGCATTGTCCTTCATCTGTGGACATGGGTACCTTTGCTTCCAAGTATTGTTGGATGTGAGATCTGAATAATACAGAAATATTGTATTATGCATATGGACATGTATAACGGGAGCTACAGTTATGTGACTGAATGGCACATAGTGACTAGTTAAAACATGCGGAGCTTTAATTTTGGACAAATGCATTCTTGCATTTATGTATAAAATCTTAAAAACTTCAACAACAAAAAAAACCTTTTAGGAAATTGTTTGAAATTGATATGAAATCCATTATTCCTTTCAGGATGGCAAGAATGGAAATTACAAGTATTGTTGCAAAATCTCAGAGACAGAATTGAAAAAGAGATTTGACCCAAGTAATTGGTATGAAAAACGTCCACCAAGGGGATGCAGTAGTTAAAATCAATATAAAAGTGAGGGAGATGGACGGTTTAAAAATGTGAAAAATGAATGAATGAATGAATGTGCTTTTAAGGTTTTTGATCTGGATTGGAACATTAAATTTACTGTATTGGGGTTGCTTATTTCAGATCCAGTTTTCCAAGCATTCAATTTGCTCTTGAATTTTTAAAACTCAAATGTTAACTCTATAAAACTTCATGCTTGACAGTTCACTAGTTGTTAGCCCAATAAAGTAGACCAGATTAAAAACAGATACCAAATGGGACCTAAATCTACTTTTATTAGAATAGCTACAGTAACAGAATCTTGTGCCTCCCTTCTTTCCTCTTCTATCTTCATGTGAACAGAGAGGGGACTGGGAGAATTGTCTGAGATGCTTTTGTAAATCCATTTTTTTTGGCCTGGATTCAAGCCACACTTGTCTGATTGTTGCCTTAGTAACAGATCTTCCTTCTGTCTTTCAAGACCATCCTGTACACTCTCCACACTTGTATAATATTAGACATAACCAGGAATATAGGACTGATGGGAAATAAAGCTATTTTAGCAGTGACATGAAATTTAATCTGAAAAATTTTTTGCAATTGATGGATCTGTAGTTTACTATTTTATTTGAGGAGGCCTAGGAAGGAGAAAGTTGGTTAAGACAGCTGGGGGGAGCTCTGCACAGAGCTGACAATTTTTAGAATGCAGGAAGTCTAGAAATTGCTGCATAGAAGATAAACATTTTAGCAGATACAGCATGGAAGGATGTGAAGAGCAACATTTCTAAAAGCTCTCTTGCTGATACACATTGGAAAAGTACAAGGACCGAATAGTGAACCTGGAAGTTGTCACTGCAGCCGGAGGAGAACTGGTACAACTGCTAGTAAGCTTAGGAAAGCAGCAACCAAACATACATCAGTCATGCGATTTAAACACCAGCTATATCACCTAATATGTTATTGCCCTCAATTTTATTGAGCACTATTGTTTAGTTAGATGCTACACCCTGCATGAAGTTGATTTAGCTATTCTCATTCCCCACCACCTACCAGAGCCTGTTAGTACATGTCATAAATCCATCTCTGTGTTTTCCTTTTCTATAAGCTGCCTCCTAGTTGCAAAGTTTGGTAAATAACTAATAGATACAGCAGTGTTTCTCAACCTCCACCATTTTAAGATGCATGGACTTCAATTTCCAGAATTCCCTGGCCATCCCTGCCTTGGGATGCATCTTAAAGTAGATGAAGTTGAGAAACACTGATATAGAGAGTTCTTTGTTAGGAACTAATTTTATACTACAGATAGTCCTCAAATTTGTACCAGAATTTCTCTTTGCTATGCAAAGTGGTTGTTAAATGAGTCACACTCAATTAGCAAATCTGGCTTTCTCCATTGGCTTTGCTTGTTGGAAGCTGGCTGGGAAATTCGCAAGTGATCACATGACCTTGGCATAATGCAACCATCATAGGGTACATGCCAATTGCCAAATGCTCAGATTTTGATCAAGTGAGCCTGGAGATGCTACAAGAGTTGTAAGTGTGTGAGAACCAGTCATAAATCACTTTTTTCAATGCTATTGTAAATTGAAGAGTAGCTAAAAGAATGGTTGTAAATTAAGAATTATCTGTATTTATAGTTTCAAATAGCTTCTCATAAAGAAAGTTTAAGTGAAGTCAAGCTATTCAGAAGATCTCCTGAATTGCAACAGGGATGACACACTGGCCCTAGGCTAGGATCAAGTCCACAAACATTCAAAATTAAGGAATTGTCAGGTGTTTGGATTTAATCCCTACAGCAGAGATGACTACTTCTCTATTACCAAGGAAACACAAATAAATCAGACTGCACAAAAATGACACACCTTTCATTTTTAGTTATTATTTATTTTACTTTTTTTTTTAACAATGTAAGAATTAAAAATCTTCCATAAATAAAGGACTTGCCTGGCAGCATCCCAATAGTACGGTATAAAATATGAGCGATTGTACAAAAACTCTTAAGGACATCAGGCACACAACCAGGGTGGAAAAGGCCCAGCCAGTGCTCCCTGGAGCTCTGTCCTTGCCCAGCTTTAGGGGAGGGGTCAGGGGATTGGGGGTAAGGGGTAGGGGCAGAGCCCCAGGCTCAGACCACAGGAAGGACAGAAAGACACTCGTTGTTCATATCATCACAATGGACACACACTGGCAATGAGGGTCAACGTAATATGTGAGGTCTTGGATCAGCCCCCTAGATTACCTCCACAGTACATTGCAGCCAGCCTACCTCTCAGCTACTTTCCAGTCTGCAAACTCCTCATCCACACCTTCTAAAAGTTTTTTTAGAGGGTAGAGGGAGAAGCAATGAGCACACATGGGCTCTCTTCCCAGGAGGAATGTGCTAGTTCTGCTGAGAGAATAATAGGTGGAGAGAATGCCTCTAACCAGAATGAAAAGGATAACACAGCCAAGGAAGTGGGACTCTAACACAGAGAGCAGCAGAAATATCTCTGGCTCATTTTCTCCTCACAAATTAGTCCAAGGCTGGTGTACTATTGCAGAGAGCCCTTATTTAAAAAGAAGCTGGTAGAGAGTTCAGCTGACTGATCCTAGGAGAGCACCTAAGAGGGTGACCATCTTATTGGTTTGCCCACACGAATGGGCTAGGGCAGATCAGGAGCTACCTCGAATCCTTTCCATGTAGCTGCGCAGCTCATCTGGATCATGCAGCCCCATGTCCTCACACACCCAACGAATGTCATCTTCACTGGCTACCAGGATGGACTGAACTACTGGTCCAGAAGCAGGGGGGCTTGGAGCGGAGTTGGACGGTGAAGCAAAGGTCACAAATTCTACACGCTTCCGCCGGCCACCCACATCCCTGCCCTCTTTCTTCCTGGACAAGGTGCTGGTCAGTGCTGGGTTCCCTGGTGTAGTCAGGCCCAAATTATTAGCAGAGACCCCTGTTTCTGGCTCTGGTAATGGAGCTGGGGCCTCTGGGGCCAAAGCTTCCAAAGTTCCTTCTGGCCCTGCACAGCAAGAGTACCCCTCGTTGGTACTAGAAGGGCCCCGAGGCTGGTCTTTGCAGTGTTGCTTGCACAGATCCAGCTGCCGACTAAGATCCTCCTGATCAGTGCCTAGCCAGACCCAATTGTGAGGCTGCTGGGCAGAAGAGGCTGGACCTGATCCAGCATCAGGAGGTTCCTTGTGCTGGTAACGAAGGACAAAGACCACACAGTTGACGAGGAAGATAAAGATGGCCAGACAGAAAACTCCCAGGAGGACATACATTCCAATCTCTAGATCTGTCACCCTTGCAGGTGCCTTCACCATCTCATCTTCCTCTACTTCTTCCACTTGTTCAATATCCTCATAGGAGCTAACATCAGCTCCCTCAAATTTGGTCATCGGCGGCCCTCGTGCTACTGGGCCACGCCTTCTTGAACCTCTGCCATTCTCTGTGATAGCTGCAACGGTCACTGCTTCACCTGACATGGCACCTTCTGCTCGCCGAAAGGGGGCCTTACCATGTAGATGGAGATCTTCTTGCTGTGGGCTCTTAGTGGTCAGGAGGTGCCAGCCAAAGTTCACTTCCAGCCATGCTGTCCCCTGGGAAAGGGGAGCCTTATGTTTCCCCTTGCGGCAAGAGTCTGGGGAATGTAGGCTGAGCTGCAGGAGGGACCCCTGGCCTGGGCCTTCAGCAATGATCACTGGGTAAGCATGTTCCTCTTCCAGCCGCACTGATACTACATCAGGATTCAAGGAAGAAAGCAAGAGAGATGCATCCCGCCGGCCATAAAGCTCTACTGGAGCCAAGGTGTGATCACTGAATACCAACCAGATGCTCAGAACTGCTTCCTGCAGAAAAAAAAGAAAAGAAAACTGGGATCTCAAGTTGCCTTAAAATAGTAATGGTGGGTTGGGCAAGTTGACCAACAGAGGCATCATTATCCATATTGGTAGCAGATGTAAATCATGCCACCCAACTCGATGAAGCACCTTCCCTTTTACCAAATTTCTATCCCTCTTCTTTGACTGCTACACATCACGGCAAGAAAACTCACCATATAGTGATCCCTTGTCATGCCACCCAAATAAAGCAGATTTTGCAAATCTTGGAGAGGAAAAGACACACGGATTCTATATTTGAGGATAATTATAACATGACATTTCTATCAAGTCTAACTTTAGCTTAAGTGAGCCATGGAAGGGCAGGTATGAACCCTCAAAATGCAATGTAGTGCTTCTGTGACACAGAAGGATGGAAAGTTAAATTCATAATGTTATGAACGGCTAGAAAAATTCTTCACCTGTTTCAGGGAATGCAGAGCAGAAAGGCCCTGGCACACTGCAGTGAAAACATTTGGATGTCCTGGTTCTGCAAACACTGTCAATTGTAGACCTGATACCAGCTGGGCCTGCAGCTCTGAAACTGAGACTTTCTCTTCTGACACCACCAGAGTCTGTTCCCCCAGGATAGAATCGGAAACAGGAGAACGCACCTGAAGAAAAATAGAGAATATATTGTTATTTCATAAGGAGACTTTGCACAGAAGCTGTATTATTTGCAATGTCTCTTCTCATCCATCTCAACATCAAGTCATGGTTAATTGAATGGTTAATTTGCCAGCCAAGTGACCAAATAGGGAGAGTGAGTTCCCCTCAGTGACTGACAGATAGATGACAAATGATGGATGGATGGATGGATGGATGGATGGATGGATGGATGGATGGATGGATGGATGGATAGATAGATAGATAGATAGATAGATAGATAGATAGATAGATAGATAGATAGATAGATAGATAGATAGATAGATAGATAGATAGATAGATAGATAGATAGGCAGGCAGGCAGGCAGGCAGGCAGGCAGGCAGGCAGGCAGGCAGGCAGGCAGGCAGGCAGGCAGGCAGGAGATAGATAGGTAGATAGACAAATAGAGTCAATAGAGATGCTTACAATGTATAGTATCTTTCATAGATTGCTTGTAAAGCTGTCACATTCCTCTTTCTTCATAGCCACACCCACCATATCATCCCATCATTTCCCCAAACCGGAGACAAAAGTAACATCCAACAGACTGTGCACAGCACCTGGCTCATCCCTTTGAACAACTATCATCACGCTCCAAGCAAGCTTCTCATCTCATTCCATCCCATCTCAGCAAGGAATCACTCAGCCCCCATTTTTTTCTCACATGCTCCTTACCTCCACAGAGGTCATTCCTATTTCACGGCCAACCACCACTTTCCCACCTTCCAGTGTTGCTATTCGAGGGTCTTGGATTCTAGCATGCTTCTGCACCAGATGCGAAACATCCAGCAGCCAATCAGAGCTTGGCATGTAGGTCAGGTGACGTCCACCCTCTAGAGGGTGAGCTACAAAATGGGTGAGGAAACGGACCCCCGCACGCTGGTATTGGAGCCGACAGCCACGTGCTCTCCTCTCAGCTTCTTCTCCACCCTCTTCTGGTTCTGCTGGACTGTTCAGAGAAGAAATGCAAGGACTTAGTCCATTTACAAAGCGTAAGGCAGTTTTCCTCAATTTAACATCTTCTGGATGAGTTGGGGGTCACAGCTCCCAGTATTCTGTATCAGCATTGGCCTTGGTGGTAGGGAATCTAGAAATTGTACTCTCAAAACATCTACAGGGAGCTAAGTTGAGGAAGGATGCCACACCTTCAACTCATTGTTAGTGACTCTCCTGGAATCATAACACTTACCTCTCAGACACTGGGCCAGATACCCTCCAGCCTCGTATTTGCTCCAAAGAGGTATCGGTTAGCTCAATACGCAAAGGCAGAAGTGGAGCCCAGACAGTAAAGAGTAATGATGCATGCAGGCGTCGGTGCCAGAAATCCACCCGTACACCCCGTGCCCCTCGGCTCTCTTTTCCTCCTACATAGACAGCATCACATACATCTGAAACCTACAGGTGAATTAGAAAATACATTCAGGTCCATAGATGTACATCCAAAGGCCTAAGGAAGTGTTACAAGAAAGCAAGAATGCCCATACTGATTCCTTAACCCAGTATGGATTGCTCTGTTGTTTTTTTTCCTCTAGAACAATTCAAGATGGAACCATAATTGGAAATTGTTGTGAGTTCTTATACTCTATCAGTGGGAGATTGAGTCCTTTTGGGTGATATAGAGAAATACGTTGTAAACGCCACAGAAAATGAGGGAAGTCGCCCATTATCATTGGATATACAGGTATAATTATTTTTCATGAGCTTCAACATTGCTCTGCTTCATTCTATATTTCTCATAGAAATGGTACATGCATGAAAACATGGAGGAAGAACATTTGATGTGGACAAAGACAAAGCTGTAGCCACTGATGGGAGCAGTCTAAAACTATAGCATGAGCTTGCTAGATCAGTGGAATGCCAAGTCTTAAAATGTATGAAGAGCAAGGGTAACATTAAGGTGAGGTGTCATCAAGAAGAAGCCGCATGGATTAGGAACCAAGATTTCAAAGCATTCCAGGTAATAATGTAGGGTCTGTTTTTTTCCACAAACACAGTAGACAATTGGAAATATAAAGGAACACAAACAGGCTATCTGATTTGGAATGGGAACTCCAGCTAAGTTTGTACTTGATTACTAATCTCTTCTCTCTGTTTGCACAACAAACTAAGTCATAAACTAACTGAATCAGCTGAATTTGCTAACATCCTAAATTACAAATATTAACGATGATTAAAACTACCGTAAGCCTAACTTGTTGTGAGAATGCAACCCCTAAAAATGTAACTGAAGTGATTAAGCATGGTTTATAACCCTGACTCTGACTCTTATTTGAGAAATAATTTGGCAATCAGAGAAGAAGACTGCAGTCTTAATAAGTGTTGCTGATTTGGATCCAGAAGAACATCCTTTATGACAGTATTTGTTTCTCACCTGAAGGACCTGCTTATTAGAGGATTCACATCCCATCTGCTGTGTTACTTCCGATACAGCTCCTCCTGTTTCAACCACAACCAGCCTCACAGGCACAGATTGGGGGATTCCTGTGAGGAGTGCAGTGTTCACAATTTCCTGCTCCTGGAGAGAGTCAAGGGAATTGTGTAAGGATCCAGTGCTACCAGTTATCCATGAGAAGAAGAACGCCAATTTTCAGGCCTTACCTTTACTAATGGAACCAAGGCCCGTACATCTCTCTCCGATACTTGGATCTCCCACACCATCTTGTCCTTCTCAGCCTCAGGATCCTGGCCAGGGTACTCCACTTGCCAGGTAACAGGGCGTGTAGCGGCCAGAGCACCTGTACCATTCTCCACAAGAAAATCCAAATATAGGAACTCTGGAGAATCTGCTGCCCTAAATGGAGAGGTTAGAAGTCAACACTCAAGAGATCAGAGAACCCAGGGAAAACTGAGGAGACGACAGAACATCTGGAACAATAATATGTCCACCTCACTTATCTTGATCATCATGGAGCCGAAAGAACTGAATAGCACTCTCTGGTTCAAAAAACTGACCCATTCAGACTTTCAAAAGATATTTCTCATATTGCTGACTAGAAAAAAACACCTGCAGCTACATAATGGGCACAATATTCAGTTTAAAGACACAAAAGTACTAGCAATCTTGTCAAATCATCAAGCATGACTACTTAGAAAAGCTATTGAAATGTACAAACTTTCCAATAACTTGAACAAGACGGTTAACAAAGCCTGGTTTCCAGCTTTACATCATACCAAAATAAAACTTCCCTTAATTAACCAACACCATATAAACTTTATAGCAGTCTCATCTGGAATATAATAAACAGCAGCGTGTTTCAAAGACCAATGAAAAAATGAGTTCCTCTGAAACTTCCTCAAATCGGACATTTTCCTCTGGATAAAAACCCAATCAGAAACTGGCTTTCCAGAATACCAATGACATAGTCCAGTTAGAAATTAGTTCTGGTGCAAACACAAGAGCTCAGTTAGCTTGAGCTACCAAGAAATGTGGTGGTATAAAAGATCACTTTCACCTCTGAAGATGCCAGCCATAGCTGCTGGTGAAACATCAGAATAATTAGCCCCTAGCCTATTAGGACAATGACAATACAGGTTATCTATCTATTAACCCAAAAACTCAACACTATTAAATCAATTTCTGATACCTTTTCTGCTCTGGAGCATGATCGATGCAAAGAAATACACAATAGATGCTGTTTGAAATGCGTCCAAGATCTATGCCCAACCAACCATTCTTGTCCTATTTTTCCATAGTAGGATTCAAGGATGGTGCAAGAATCACACAAATGCCTCTAACAAGCATTTGAGAAATAGATATTTCCTTCCAAGTCTTTTCTATTTCCTGCCTCAGGGATGAGCACTCTGTGGCCTATGGATTGCGTGAGCCTCTCTCCACTTTATGACTCTGAGAGTACTCTGAGACTGCAGGACTAAAATTTGATGGCAAAGCCACAATTTTCAACAGAACATCTCCTTTTGTAAAAAAAAATCCCCCCTCCCCACTTCCTACAAAAGACTTAAGGGCTGAACTATTTCAGTTACATCTCTGGGCCTACCTACTCTTCTTTGTTTATCAATCAATAAATGTTGATTGATGGCCAGACTTTTTAGTACTAATTAAAGATGACAATAATGATGATTTTCATAACTGAGGTTGCATTTTTTTATCTCAGATGTTAGTTCCTTGTAAAATAGATCTCTGATTTTGCTTTGTTTTGAACCTTACTCTTAGATACTGTTGTTGAGCTCATTCTATTTTGGAAAGTGGTACAAGGTACCAGTGTTCCCCCTGGCTCCTGTGTTGAATCTCCCCCTCACTCTGAAGCCTCCCAGGTTGTCTTCACTTCCCAGTTGGAAAAAGCCTAATGAGAGAAGATCCTCCAGAATCTCTTTTCTTGAAATTTGGTGGAAGTATGAGAAGCCAGAGAGGTTATAGACCTCTGGAGAGGCAAGTGTACAATGAAAGAGGGGACAGTCTCTCTCATGATGTACCTCTTTATCACTATCAAGAACATGACATGCTAGGCCTGAATATTTCTCTCAAATGCTCAATTCCTTGAGAAGAATTTCTCAAGCAAATTCTCTTTCATTAAATTGAATTGAGAACTGATATTAACAAATGCAGAATGGTGTTGGGAGGAGGCATGATGCTAGACTCAATATAATTGGCTGGATTTTGGGAAGAACTATCTTCTCATCCTCTCCCCCCCCCCCCATGATTGTATCTACCCCAGGGCCCTTTTATGACTTGTGGACTTCAACTCACAAAATTCCTCAGCTAGCATAAGGGATGCAGTATTCAACTTCCCTTCAAGCAAAAAGTGAATTGTCCTTTCACAAGGAATGGGGAGAAACAGAATAAATGGAGTCCTAGTTCAGTGCTTTCTTCATAGGTGTATGTAGATAAGGGCAAAAAGAAAAACACCTAATGCATTACAGTACAATCTGTTCAGAGGTGCTGCCTGATGCCTCATCCCAAGGTGAACCAAGCAGTTCTGTAGAAACAATTATGAGCCTCAAAGGCTACCTACTTCCACTCCAACCCACTGCCAGAAGAACGACGACAAGTGATCAAAGCCGTGTGGTGTTTGGCACTCTTGAACTTGTCCAGCTTTGCCGTCCAAGCCTCTGGTCTGGTGGGGCGAGCAGCCAGAACCTGTAACCCTTTCTTTACCTTGATTCTGAAAGGAATGACAAGTAAAAAATAAGATGTACAGACAGAGAAGCAAAGACCATCTAGATTCTAGAGTAGACAGCCTCGGTAGTAAAGTTAGGATGAGCAAAGAGAAGTCTTCAAAGGATGAGTACCTTTGGAAGAGATGAAAACCTGCCTCAGAGAACTCAGAGAGTAAATGGGCATGAAGAAATCCACAGGCTGCTGTAAATCTCAGCTCTGCCATGAACTAATCAGGCAACCCACTCTCTCACATCTTCAATCTCACCTACAGGAGTTGGCTAAATAATATTGGAGCCCAGAGTCATTGTATATTTCACAATTAAGAAATGTGTGCAATGAACTTGAAACAGTTGAAAACAATATGATACTTAATTGTTCACAATTATGATTATTTGTCAAGATTGTGTTCACTGTGACTGAAATGACTTTTGAATTCAAAATCCGTTGCCATTTGGATAAGTGCATGGCAACTGTCACTCACCGGAGAGTCAGCAGATCAGCTGTGAAGTTCTGTTGCAGAATGAGAGTGGCAGTGAAAAGCTGTCCTGGGCGCAGGGCTGTGTCAGGTACTCGGACCATCACATTGTCATCCAACCGCACTTCCTGCCGCCGTGGAGGGCTCATCACTCTGATATCCACAGGGCCCACATAGTGCAGCTGCTCCTTGGGGCTTTCTGTACCCGGATGCGGCCTCTGCTGGGTTCGCACATGGGGACACTCTCTGTGTACTTTCCCAGGTAGAATGGCCTCCAGCCTATAGTATAACTCTGCTCTTAGAGTTGGGGTGACTGAATCCTCTGATCTGCGATGAAGAGTGCCAAGTGGAGGAGAGAACCAGCGAGGGGGAAGTTCTAGTTCCACCACACACATGCCCAGGGGAGCCTAGATAGGAAAAAAGAGAAACTCACATGCTATTGACTCATTGTAAAGCTCACTCTCAAGCTATGCAAAGCTTATTCAGTGTAATGGCCTGGTCTATCTTGCCTAATTCCACCTACTCTAATAGGCAACAGGTCCCTGAGAAACTGAGGCCAATCTCTCTCTCTCTCTCTCTCTCTCTCTCTCTCTCTCTCTCTCTCTCTCTCTCTCTCTCTCNCACACACACACACACACACACACACACACACCTTTCTCACATTTACACTAATGACTGCAATAGCTGGATCGAACTTGAAACCTTGTACAGTTGGTACCTTGGTACTCAACTGCTTTGAAACTCATCAAGTTTGGTACTCAACATATTTTGATGCAAAAATTTTGTCCCAATACTTATTGTTTGTTTGGTACTCAATGCACAAGCTAGAACTTGTCAGTTTGGCTGCCTTGTGACTCACTACATTATTTCTTATGGAAAAAAATTTGTTTGGTACTCATCGTTTGTTTGGTACTCATCATGCCTCCCAGAACCAATTAACGATGAGTAAATACATGACATATGTGCTTTACCGCTTAGTTATGGTCTCTGCCCCAATTATCTACTGATTTAGATAGTTTTCTGAAAGCACTCGTCTTACCACTTTAGTGACAATTCTCTCGCTCTCCTCTCCTCTTTTTAGGGATGAAGTGATCCCTTTTGAGAGGGATCACTTCCACATTTTGGAGTACCAGCAGTCCTCAACTTACAAGCACAATTCAGACCAGAACTTCTATCATTAAGCAATACAGTTGTTCAATAAGTTGTGCCTCATTTTATGACCTTTTTTTTTGCTGCGGTTAAATGATTTCAGCATCTCCCACTGACTTTGTTTGTTGGAAGCTCCCTGGGAAGGTTGCAAATGGTGATCATATGACCTCAGGATGCTGCAACAGTCGTAAATATATGCCAGTTGCCAAGAGCCCAAATTTTGATGACATGACCTTCAGGGATGCTGCAACCTCTGCAAGTGCAAAGACTGGTCAATGTCACTTTTTTCAATGTTGTTATAATGGTTGCTAAATGAATGGTCAGAAATCAAGGACCAGCTGTAGTGATGCTCAGGACAATGGGATCAGCACATAACAAACAGCAAACATTCCACATCAAAAATTGGCACTTGTTATTATATACACCATAGCATAAATATCCCAGCACTAAGCTTGGAATCAATTTTCTTGCACAAAGAAAGGCATTTTATGCAAGATGAAAAAAGGAGCAATTACTCCATGCCTTCTCCTTCGTGGCATTTGTGGGTGAGGGGTGGGAGGATTTAGAAGGACAAATATATCTGAGAAAAGAAAGGTATGCTGCAGACCAGTCAGGTGCTTTGAATGCTACTTCTGTTTTAAGTGAGGTTTACAAGAAGAATGCTATTATTTAATATTTAACTACTTGTTAATATTTAATACTTAAATATCAACCTTTTCTGCTCTAGAATCATGGATCCTGGGATTAATTGCATGGCTCTTTACCATGAAGATCATATCAGAGGCTTGTAAAATTAAATCATCATATAGACCAGGGGTAGTCAACCTTGGCTCTTTTATGACTCGTGGACTTCAACTCCCAGAATTCCTGAGCCAGCTAAGCTGGTTCAGGAATTCTGGGAATTGAAGTCCACGAGTCATAAAAGAGCCAAGGTTGACTACCCCTGATATAGACATTTGTCCACGGTCTCTTAGAACCTCCAAGCAACTTGCACCTCATAATTTCTCCTTACTTCCGCATATTTACTTCCACTGTCTTCAACAGAATGCAGCCAAACAGCCATAGCAGAGCTTTATTTTCCACGGCATCCGAGAGCCATATACTTCATTTCTCCACAATTTGTGAGAGTGTAAACATATGTACTGTACCTACCTGAAGGTGGCAGGCCCGATGCACAGCCTGGGCCTGATGGAAGACATGCAGGCTGACGCAAGGCAGGGGGTGTCGTTTTGACATCCAATCCTGCCCTTGGAGGTGAAAAAGAACACGAGCGTAGGGCTCATAAGGAGATACTGTGCCTTCAATGGATACAGCACGGATGTCCCAGGTAGTAGAGAAACCTGTGAACTGGGAATTATCTGTTGGAAATTCCTGGAGAGAAAAGGAAATCTGAATTCAGAATAGAATCTCATTGAATAAATCCAGGGAAGAATGGAACTCAGCCCTATTCCATTTCTTACACAGGGAATCTTCAGTGTGGTGCCCTTGGGTAGCTCACTTGGTAACTATCAATGTTTCCTGCCCCATTTTAAAAACAACAACAACATATAAATAGTAAGCTAGCCAGCTACAAAGCCAAGTGGCAGCCTCTAGCACAGTGGTTCTCAACCTTTTTAATGACGCGACCCCAACCGGTCGTAAGTCGAGGACTAAACCGGTCGTACGTCGAGGACTAAACTGGTCGTAAGTCAAGGACTAAACCGGTCGTAAGTCGAGGACTACCCAACCGGTCGTAAGTCGAGGACTTTCCCTGCCCGGGAGCGCCGCGCATGCGTGGTTCCGCCCCCTGCGCCGGCCAAGGCGTAGCTGGCAAGCGGCAGAGACGGAGCAGGCTGACCACCAGCTGGCCCAGCCCAAGGGAGGTAAGGCACCCGCCGGAAAAGGGGGAAAAAAATGGCGGACAAAAAAAATGGCGGACAGCCTTGCTTGGCGACCCCCGTGAAATGGTCGATCGACCCCAAATGGGGTCCTGACCCACAGGTTGAGAACCACTGCTCTAGCATCATTCTACTTCAGAAGCATGAAACTGGATCCGATGTGGATGCTATAAGCATTTTTAGAAAAGAAATACAATAGGTGGCTGCAAATTTTTGTGTTGTTAAAAGCAACATTTATTTTTAAAATGATAAAACTAAGCAGAAGAAATTAGCAACAGCCATAGCACGTAGACTTATGTACCACCCCATAGTCCTTTACAGCCCTCTCTGAGTGCTTTACAATGTCAGCATATTGCCCCCAACAATCTGGGTCCTCATTTTACTGACTTTGGAAGGATGGAAGGCTGAGTCCACCTTGAGCCCTGTTTGGATCGAACTCCAGATTGTGGGTAGAGTTAGCCTGCAATACTGCATTCTAACCACTGTGCTATGATTGTGACATCAATAGTGTCCATTCCTAACCACAGGGACATCAGAATGTCAAAATATTACATTGTAATATCACATAAGTCCCACCAAATTTATATTTTTGTTGTAAATCATGTTTTGACATTTTCTCCCTTGCCTCCCCTCCCGCCTCCTGTTGGGGGAATCCTGAAAGAGGGTGTAACAAAACACAAAGTCACCAGTTTGGGCCGCATGGTGGACATTTTATGTGAGTTTCCATGGTATGTTTCTAAAGTTCTAAATATGACTCAAGGGTTGTGGTTTCCGTTTTACATTGAAGCATCTCTCTAAACAATTATAAGGCTAATTTACCTGCTGGGCAGTGAAAGGAAGGTAGGTAGCCTGGATACTGGGTTTTCCTGCAAGTCGACGATGAAGGAAGAGGAACGTCTCTGAGCGAGAGCTGAAGGAAGCATTTCCTGGTGAATAACGGTCAGTACGCTGAAGACGGAAATATTCTGAGCCATTGAGTACTTTTAATTCAGCTGGCAAATACACCGAGTCAGGAGGATCAGATTCACAATCCGCTGCAAATAGGAGAACTATGCCCATCAACATCAGATATGTAACTCCCTCACTCCATAGACATTTACGTTTGTGACCCCATTCCCACTCCCAATCCTGGAGGGAAAGGCTAAGTAACAGCATGTGTTCAAGCCTCATTTTGACAAAACTAAAAACTCAGACTTGGATCAGAGATAATCAACTAGTCCCCAAAGGAACTATCTCTGGCTCCAATTACTCTAAAGTTGTGCTAAAAAAAAAAAAGAAACAATAATTCATCTGTACAAGTTTGTATCAGTGTTGTTCAGTGCACTCTCAAACAACAAAGTATGGCTTCAGGAATAGCCAGTATCTTGGCTGAGTAATCTGACAAAGAGATATGGACCACTCTGTTTGTTGCAGTTTAATTAGAGGCTGAATTTTTGCAGCCCAAATACTATACCTTTCTGCAAACAACCAACCATCTAAGAGTGTGGATTGATCCCTCATCATGAAAATCTATCTATATAGTTGTTATGATTCAACACTGACTCAGTATAACACTCAGTACACTGAAGATGAAAATTCTCTGAGCCATTGAGTACTTTTAATTCAGTTGGTGAATCTGACAAATGACTGATGGCTTCTCCTATTGGTCTAATTCAGTACCATGGAGAGTACCACATTGTAACTGTACTGCCGTTGTCATCGTCGTCATCATCATCATCATCATCATCATCATCATCATCATCATCATCATCATCATCA